CCCGATCGCTTTCGTTCCCGTATTTGATACCGGTTGCCTCGATTGGCCATTGCAGTTCGGGAGAGAGATCACGATGCCCGGGCCAACCAGGCCTTAGTCCAGCCTCGAGCCTCCTGCCCGCCTCTCTCCCTGTCGGCCTGGTGACGGTGCCAGTCTCCGGTCACCTTGGCGATTTCAAGACCTCCAGCTCAACTGGTTGTCGAGTTGCTATGACGACTGAGAGTCCCGGTGGTCCAACCTCTGGTCTGGTGCAGTGGTCGGATGAGCCAATCATGAGGATGGCTGAATCTGCAGTCATGACGTCTGAAGGAGTTATGGTTGGCCGAATTCGAGAGAATCAAACTTTTGGTCGACAGGACCGGCTGAAACGCAAGTTGGAGGCGGAAGACGCTGACGGACACTCGAGAGGACCTGTGGGGTTGGACGCCGATACGATTGCATTGACTGCCGACTGGCCGACAACTTGGCAGGCTGAAATGCCTCAGCCACAAGACGGATTGAAGGAAGAAATTCCGTTACTTCATAAATTCAACAAAGTTTCTGTAAGTCCAGCACTTGGCTATTGACTTTCTGTGCACCGATTGTCCTGAAAACCAGGCGATTATCCCCAACATACTATCTACAATGTTAGCTCTTTCTGAGAAGTGACGAAACATATTTGATTTTAACGTAAGGGAGTAGGTTTTCGAGACTTAACTCATATATCATATTTGGTTTGTCACAAGGTGTGGAGCTTAGGTAAAAAAGAAGGGATCAAATGACCAAGTCCACCGCTCTTTTCGGGGCTTTGATGAGCCACAAACCGCCCTAGAACCCAGCGCAGTATCATTAGTCTGATAGTATTTTTAACTTCAGTAAACAATATTTTGATATATGAGAAAAAAATGTTTTTTGAGAGGTCCTTTGATTCACACTTGGTGAACTCAAAACGAGATATAAGTTATGTAGTCGATTGCTATAGCAAATATGTGATTGTTTCATCGACAAACCCGCAACAGAACGTGATAAGGGAAGTTGCCTGGCCTTCCTTGAAATGCACATATCAACTTTGACACAAGAGCACTCATGACAATGTGGCGTGTTGAAATTACACGCCGCACTGTCATGGTTCGAATCCCGCAGGGGGTGTTGATAAGACATAGGCGAGGTCAAAACTGCAGTCTAATCTGAGTGAGAACACTTTTTAGGAAAGCAAGGCTATGTGAAATTCAATGGAAACGTCATTGTGGGACAATTCAACTACAAGTCCTTTATCACCTTAGACGAAATATGGTGAACAAAGAATTTACATACATTTCGAGTGAAAAAAAGTGTGGTGAAGAGATGCACAAGTCGAGGCCACTGGATTATGATGAAGGAGTCAGGAAAAAGTTATAGTTGACACTGTATCCTAGACAATCTTCCTCGAATCAAATTAAAACTGGCAAAGTTTTCGTCTATCACACCACTTGGCAGACATAATCAAATCAGGGAAATGTTATTACATTTTGAGAAAGTAAGCTTTAAAAAAATCCAACTCACCCAAAATTGCACAAAATTATAAAGGTTAAGCCACACATTTTTACGAAATATCACCTAGTCCTATTTTTTTAATGGACTTCAGGTTTTACCTCACCTTGGGATCATCAGTGACCCCCAACGGGACTATAAATCAGTTAGTGCAGCGTAGATTCTCGGGTTAGAGTCCTGTTGTGGACTGATA